TATATATATATATAATATATGTATATGTATATATATATGTACAGTATATATTATATATACTACTTGTATTATCGTGGGGTTTCAGGGTACAGATCCCCTGCAATAAATGGACTACTGTGCAAATAATCAGTAGGCTTTTTTTTGTTGTTTTTTTTTAAATACACACACAAAAAAATTAACCCTTGCCAGAATGGGGTGGGATAAAAAAAATTATACATAATATAGTTAAGTCTTAGTCTTAAATTCTAAACTTTTTCTTATATAACCTAATTTGGCTTTTTTTGCCTCTACGATGTTTGGCAACAGAAGGTTGTTTTTCTTTATCAAAGAGCGCCTGCATTGTTCAGGAGTGGAGCTCATGGGACTTATTAGTGGTGTTATGTTGTTGCAGGAAGGAGTGGAGGTGAGAGTGGCCAGAATCTTCAACACATTTGGTTCCCGGATGCACATGAATGATGGACGTGTTGTCAGTAATTTCATCCTTCAGGCTCTACAAGGAGAACCTCTCACTGTATGTTTTAACATTTTTTTGTGTGTGTGTATTTGAGATGCTCATGAAAACGTTTATTGGTTCAAATTACTGGTTTTGACTTGGTTCTTGAATTTAATAGTAGAGCTTGTAAAATTTTATTCTCCTTATTTGTTCTTAACTACTTTGCCCATCAAACAGGTTGTTATTTTCTGAAAATACATCTTTTAAGACGGCAGTAATAATGCATATGTTGTTTTTGTAGGTATATGGGGCTGGTTCCCAAACTAGAGCTTTCCAGTATGTAAGGTAAGTTTTAGTAGTAAATTTTTTGATATTCTAAAACGCTATTAACTACCATAGTTTAAAAACATATTTACTGGTAATAAAATAGTTACTAGAATTCATAAATTATGTTAAGAGTCAGTTGCCACCGTCTTATACTTTAATTGGTACTTTTTGTTAATTAATTTGATAATCTCATATTTCAAAGACTCACTCCAGTAAAGTACAGTTGTTGTAGTTTTTATTTATTATTTTAATGTATTTATTCGTGTTTATAAACCAAATGAGTGTGTTGTATGGGGGAAGGGGGGTTATATTCTTATAATGTCTTTGGTATAAGGCTTTTCCAGATTCAAACAGCTGTTATTAGGTTGTATTTTTTGATGATATTGTGATCTATTTCAGTTTGACAGAGAAATGAGACATTTGATGATCTCCATCTCTTTGAACCATGCTACTGCTCCCTGATGTGGCATTAGTTTGTGTAAATAGTTATTGAGAGCACTTTTCCCTAAGTTCAACTCTCAAAAATCTTGAACAGTTTTGGAAAAACACAATTTCTTTCACTGCTGACCCGTAGAAACACTCAGATCTAAGCCCAACCTGAACAAACATTACTAAGTTTGTTTATTTAATTTAAAAACTATTCAGCAGTTTAATGTTTTGTGTATTTTGGTGTTCAGTAAAGGCATTTCTGTTGAATTGAACAAACCCTATACTGTATTGTTAGGAGTGCACTTGTAGATATTAAAATTTCTGTCACAGATTTGTTTGAAAGTCCTGCTGTGTGTAAAATAAGAAAATGAGTGCTTTGCTCAAGCAGTTCTTGTTCTGCCACAAGTGGGAATTTATAGTTTTAACATTCAAACTATGCCACTTTGAAAAGGACATCCAACCTGATTTAAAATTATAAATCTTGAGCATGGTCTTTTATTTTAGTATATTGTTTAGTCGTGCCCGTTCAAACAGTTGGCTGCCATTTCTTTTGTGCAGCCTTTGAGTCATTTGTAAAATTGATTACGCAGCTGTTGTGATTGCTCAGATATATATATATATATATATATATATATGTATATATATATATATATATATGTATATATATATATATCTAATTCACACAAAGCCTTCACATTTTCTCTTCAGTCTCTGATTCTGTCGATCAAGAGTTTTCAACGTTCAGAGTGAAACATCAACCAAGGAACATAATAATAACCCCTTTGGTGTTTAAACAGCCTCCATACTTTGTAATATTAAAACAGTAAAAGTTTGCAGGAAAACTTGCCTTAAACATCTGAACTGAGTGCATCACAAGTAGTTACAGTGGTTTTATTTTCAATAGTCTCTTAAGAATAAATTAGTTGTGCTTGACTGAAGGAATCTGTTCTGCAGTCAAGTTTAGGATGGTAAAAGTATGTGACTCGAAGGTCAGAGTACACGGTCCGTTTTTTTAATTCTGAGTTCAGTGTCTAGTTTTAATTGTTCCCTGTGAGGGGTGAGAGAACATATTGGACTGATTAGTAGAAACTGTGTCGTACCTGAGACCTTTACATGAATACTGGTTATATTACTGTTTTATTCATTCTGTCAGTTTTATGGGAAACACTTATTTTTAGTTACTGATAACATTTATGTGGAGCGCCTTCAGCTCTCTGCCCATCCTTGTGTCATTTGTCCGACAGAAATAACACAAAAACAAAATAATTTCTGAGGAAAAGGCAAAAAAAATAAACACTTCTTTCTGTTTTATAGAGCCTTAAAGGACTAATAAAATCTGATCCCACACTCTGTTGTTTTGGCAGGAAGAGATTAATCAAAGCAGAACACTTTTTTCAAGCCTTCTTAAAGGGATGGTTCAAATCATTTTAAGTGGGGTTTTACTAAAAGATTATGAACAAATAAGATGCGAGTTGTCGTAAAGTTTTTTGAATGACCGAATTTTTGGAGAAATAGCTTAATTCTGATCAGACAGCCAGTTTGAGCAAGACCAAGATCAAAGTGGATCGCTATCATCTTGAAACAAACAAATATTAAAATATTCTTGGCAATTCATGCAATTTCTAATCCTTAAACTTTTAATTTGCTGTGAGTTTCTCATGAAATGTTTATTTAGATGGAAACCTGTGTTTTTTTTTTTTGTTTTGTTTTTTTTGCTAGCACAAATAGTGGCAGCAGCAGCTAGCTGTAGCACTTCTTGCTCGTCCAGCATCGCCAACTTATTTCCATTAAAATAACTGTAATGTTAAATTAATTAAAGGTTTATTTAAAGGAAGCATTTGCATGAGCAGAGATTACATTTTTGAGAGCGGAGGAGTTTAAAGATGACTGCAGCTCACTTTGATCTTAACTTGGACTAACTCTTAACTTGTTAGTCGTGTCAAAATCCATTTAATTCAAAGAGTTATCTCTGAATATCATGCAGATTGTAGGTGAAAGTCGAGCTGTTCAAACTGCACGGTGATGTCGATTATATTTGATTTGATTCAAACTACATTAAATATTTTCCTCAGTATTAGTTGATAGAAAGTAAACCAATCCCAGCTGGTGTATTAGTTAGAAGTTACATGCACATATGACCATCTTTGTATTAAATAATTATTTATTTGCAAATGGAAAAAAAGTGCTATATTGATGTCAACTCCACAGTTTGTATTGGTTGGGTTGTTTTGTTCTAATGGGAAAATGGTTAAACTATTGTTTTAGAATCAACATAAATATAAAAACATAATTTAAGTCCCCCTTTTTCCCCAGTGACCTGGTAAACGGCCTCGTGTTGCTGATGAACAGTAACATCAGCAGTCCGGTCAATCTGGTGAGTTTGCTGCACTTTGTATTGTTGAACAAACTGATAGAAAATGAGCTCTGCACAAAGAGGCAAATTAAAAGTGAGGAATTGTAAATGTTTCTTGTTTACACTGATGTAATGAAAGTGATTGTGGCGTTGCAGGGGAACCCAGAAGAACACACCATACTGGAGTTTGCCCGCCTCATCAAAAGTCTTGTTGGTAAGGCAGCATGTTTATCTCTGCTCCAACCTTCAGAGCAGAGGTTTCAGCACTTCAAAGTACAAAACGGGCTCTGAATGTTCTGCAAAAGGTTAAAATACCTGAGTTCAGTTGGATCTGTTCCGATTTCATGGACAAATTTTTATGTGATAAATCGCATTTATAGTCTTGGAAATGCTTTCAGAAACTTTTATTAGTTCCAGCAAACGCAGCACTACAGGAGAAGTAAACAGATGGAGCGAAGAGAATCATATCAGCATGTTCTGCTCTTGTAGGGAGCCGAAGCCAGATCCAGTTTTTGTCAGAAGCCCAGGACGATCCCCAGAGGAGAAGACCTGACATAAGAAAAGCAAAGATGATGCTCGGCTGGGAGCCAGTGGTATGTGTGATGCACGGCAATCATCCCAATGCTTCGTTTCATCTGCACTTGTAATTCATTGTAAAAATGAAAAATACTTTAAAAACTCAAATAATGAAAGATGTGGGGCATTTAGTTGGCCAAACTAGACAGTGTTTTTTATGTTTTTACAGCTAAATTTGTATAAAGATAAAACATCAAAATCCTAAGTTTACTATAATACATTTTTATTTACTGCAGCTTCACTGCAGACGCTGCACCTATCCGCTTATCGATCTCACGTTCCATCTTTCCCTCATTCGTGAACAAGACCCCAAGATACTTGAACTCCTCCACTTGGGACAGGACCTCCTCCCTGACCCGGAGAGGGCACTCTACCCTTTTCCGGCTCAAGACCATGGCCTCGGATTTGGAGGAACTGATCTTCATCCCGGCCGTGTCGCACTCGGCTGCGAACCGCTCCAGCGAAAGCTGTAGATCACGATCTGATGAAGCCAATAGAACCTCATCATCTGCAAAAAGCAGAGACGCAATCCTAAAGCCACCAAAACGTATCCCCTCAACACCTTGGCTGCGCCTAGAAATTCTGTCCATAAAAGTTATGAACGGAATCGGTGACAAAGGGCAACCTTGACGGAGTCCAACTCTCACCAGGAACAAGCCCGACTTACTGCCGGCAATGTGGACCAGGCTCTGACACTGGTCATACAGGGACCTAACGGCCCGTATCAAAGGGCCCGTTACCCCATACTCCCAGAGTACCCCCCACAGGGTTCCCCGAGGGACACGGTCGAATGCCTTCTCCAAGTCCACAAAGCACACGTAGACCGATTGCGCAAACTCCCACGGACCCTCCAGGACCCTGCTGAGAGTGTAGAGCTGGTCCAGTGTTCCACGACCAGGACGAAAACCGCACTGCTCCTGCTGAATCCGAGGTTCGACTATCCAACGTACCCTCCTCTCCAGAACCCCCGAATAGACCTTACCAGGGAGGCTTAAGAGCGTGATCCCCCTACAGTTGGAACACACTCTACGGTCCCCCTTTTTGAATAGGGGGACCACCACCCCGGTCTGCCAATCCAGGGGAACTTCCCCCGATGTCCACGCAATATTGCAGAGTCGCGTAAGCCAACACAACCCTACAACATCCAGAGCCTTAAGGAACTCCGGGAGAATCTCATCCACCCCTGGGGCCCTGCCACCGAGGAGCTTTTTAACCAACTCGGTGACCTCAGCACCAGAGATTGGAGGGCCCGACCCAGAGTCCCCAGGCTCCGCTTCCTCAATGGAAGACGTGCCGGTGGGATTGAGGAGGTCTTCAAAGTACTCTGCCCACCGACCCACGACATCCCGAGTTGAGGTCAGCAGCACACCACCCCCACTATAAACAGTGTTGGTGGTGTACCGCTTTCCCCCCCTGAGACGCCAGACGGTGGACCAGAATCGCCTCGAAGCCGTGCGGAAGTCATTCTCCATGGCCTCTCTGAACTCCTCCCATGCCCGAGTTTTTGCCTCAACGACCACCCGAGCCGCATGTCGCTTGGACTGCCTGTACCCATCAGCTGCTTCCGGGGTCCCACAGGCCAAAAAGGCCCAATAGGACTCCTTCTTCAGCCTGTCAACATCCCTCACCGACGGTGTCCACCACCGGGTTCAAGGGTTGCCGCCGCGACAGGCACCGACAACCTTGCGGCCGCAGCTCCGGTAAGCCTCCTCGACAATAGAGGCACGGAACATGGCCCACACGGACTCAATGTCTCCCACCTCCCCCGGAACATGTTCGAAGTTCTCTCGGAGGTGGAAGTTAACGCTCCGTCTCACAGGAGACTCTGCCAAACGTTCCCATCAAACCCTCACAATACGTTTGGGTCTGCCAGGTCTGACCGGCATCCTCCCCCACCATCTGAGCCAACTCACCCCCAGGTAGTGATCAGTGGACAGCTCCGCCCCTCTCTTCACACGAGTGTCCAAGACATGTGGCCACAGATCAGATGAGACGACGACAAAGTCGATCATCGAACTGCGGCCTAGGGTGTCCTGGTGCCAAGAGCACATATGGACACCCTTATGCTTGAACAAGGTGTTCGTTATGGACAATCCATGACGAGCACAGAAGTCCAACAACAGAACATCACTCGGGTTCAGATCAGGGTTCTCCCAACCACACCCCTCCAGGTCTCACTGTCATTGCCCACGTGAGCATTGAAGTCCCCCAGCAGAACAAGGGAGTCCCCAGGAGGTGCACTTTCCAGTACCACCTCCAAGGACTCTAAAAAGGGTGGATAATCTTAACTGCCGTTTGGTGCATAAGCACAAACGACAGTCATAACCCGTCCCCCCCACACGAAGGCGGAGGGAGGCTACCCTCTCATTCACCGTGGTGAACCCCAACACACAGGCACCAAGATGGGGGGCAATAAGTATGCCTACTCCTGCTCGGCGCCTCTCACCAGGGGCAACTCCAGAGTGGAAGAGTGTCCAACCCCTCTCAAGGAAACTGGTTCCAGAGCCAGGCGTAGAGGTGAGTCCGACTATTTCTAGCCAGAACCTCTCAACCTCACACACCAGCTCAGGCTCCTTCCCCACCACTGAGGTGACATTCCATGTCCCAATAGCCAGCTTCTGTAGCCGAGGATCAGACCGCCAGGGTCCCCGTCCTCGGCCACCACCCATCCCACATTACACCCGACCCCTTTGGCCCCTCCCACTGGTGGTGAGCCCATGGGAAGGGGGACCCTCGTCTCCTCTTCGGGCTGTGCTATATATATATTTAGTAACTGATGGTTTAGTTTCCTCATTCTATTTGTAGCATTAAAGCATTAAAAATAAGGCACTCCGAATAGATTTAGTTGCAGCTGCTCTTTTTTATGAGTAGAAAATCCAGTTGTTGCTCCAGCTGTGTAATGGCATTAATCTTTCTAAAATATCACACACATTTCTCATCTGCAGACAAAAGAAACATATATTTTAAAGAAGTGTTCTATGGACTTATCAGTAATCAATATCTTACCTGTAGTGAGAGCATCATCAGAATCAGAATCCCTTTATTGTCATTATACGCAAGTACAATGAAATTAAGAGCCACTCCTTTTTTTTCAGTGCAAAAACATGCTTAAGAAAAACACACACTAAACATAGAAATATGTATCGCAATATACAAACCGGATTCCAAAAAAGTTGGGACACTAAACAAATTGTGAATAAAAACTGAATGCAATGATGTGGAGGTGCCAACATCTAATATTTTATTCAGAATAGAACACAAATCACAGATCAAAAGTTTAAACTGAGAGAATGTATAATTTTAAGGGAAAAATCTGTTGTTTCCAAATTTCATGGCATCAACAATTCCCAAAAAAGTTGGGACAAGTCCATTTTTACCATTGTGTGGCATCCCCCCTACTTTTTTTTTTTTCCCCCTTGTCCTGTCCAGCATTGTGACACTTAGAATTATTGTCTGAGTGTCAAAGTGATGCCCAACAGATTTACTTTCAGAAGCAGAGCATTATGGCTGGCCTTAATGCTCCACTTGATATATAAATTAAATTTTATTAGAATATGCTTTGGATTTGTTCCAGACGTAATGGACACGGGGACAGAAAACAAAGAACATAACAAAGCAGGAAAGTGAGAGAAGAGTTAAAATGTAAAGAAGGAGATAGGAATAGAGGAGAGAGAGAGGGATAAAGAGAACACAAATCAACATCATTGAAGTCTGCTTCTAGACCTGCGGAAAGAGAGAGGAAAAAAAAGAGAAACCACAACAACAAACAACATGTATAATGATACTTATAACATCATTAGAAAGTATTTTATACAGTACATGGTAATACAAGATATATTTGATGGCCACCACAACCCAACTGAGTATCTATCTGATAACCACCTGAATCTAAACACCTGTGTGAGCATGATTATCACTAAGGTTTCTCCTTAAAAATGTTCAATAGTGGATGTGGGGACTCATAAACCCATCCCCACAGGACACGAAGGTAACACAGGGAAGACCGGAACCACAGACACACAGCGGCCCCCAAGCCCGGAACTCCAGGAGTCCCCCAACAGGGACACCCGCACCCCTCAGAGAGAGAAGCAAAGGGAAGCCCTTGGCGATCCCCAGTAACCACAATGCAGAAACCCCAGGAGGTCGTAGCGACGAGTCAACAGGCCCCGCCGGCAACCCGCCCCTCCAGAGTGGATCCGGCCATGGACACCAAGCCCCGAGTCCCGAGGTCATACCACCACCCAACAGAGCCAGGGCACCCAGGCCCCCGCAGGCAGCCACCAGGGCAGGCCCGCACACACCCCACCACCCAGCCCCAGCTGCTGAGAGCTGCCAATGCACCGGCGGCAGGGGGCCCCACCACTGGAGGGGAGCACGAATGGGGGTCAAAACTGATCCAAGAGAGGGGACCACCTAAAACCCAACCTGAGACAAACAGGAACACAGAGACAGCCTGACAGAGCCTCTGTCGGGCCGTCCATGCGCCCCACACACCCAACAGTGACCGCAAGCCGGCCCCAGGCCAGGGGCCAGAGCAGCAGGGAGCAGCAGCTGAGTAAGGCCGGCCCAGCACACCAATGAAAGCCCCACACCACAGACCCGGAGAGGCCCCGGCATGCCACCCATGCACTCTACAAAACTCTAGTGGATGCTCGTGATCTCCGGGCCCTTAAACGTCACTGCACCTCAAACAGGAATGCCACTGTCAAGGAAATGACAGAATGGGCTCAGGAATACTTCCAGAAAGCATTGTCAGTGAACACAATCCACCGTGCCATCCGCCGTTGCCAGCTGAAACTCTACAGTGCAAAGAGGAAGCCATTTCTAAGCAAGCTCCACAAGCTCAGACGTTTGCACTGGGCCAGGGGTCATTTAAAATGGAGTGTGGCAAAATGGAAGACTGTTCTGTGGTCAGATGAGTCACGATTTGAAGTTCTTTATGGAACACTGGGACGCCATGTCATCCGGACCAGAGAGGACAAGGATAGCCCAAGTTGTTATCAACGCTCCGTTCAGAAGCCTGCATCACTGATGGTATGGGGTTGCATGAGCGCTTGTGGCATGGGCAGCTTGCATGTCTGGAAAGGCACCATTAATGCAGAGAACTATGTTCAGGTTCTAGAACAACATATGCTCCCATCTAGACGTCATCTCTTTCAGGGAAGACCCTGCATTTTTCAACAAGATAATGCCAGACCACATTCTGCAGCAATCACAACATCATGGCTACGTAGGAGAAGGATCCGGGTACTGAAATGGCCAGCCTGCAGTCCAGATCTTTCACCTATAGAGAACATTTGGCGCATCATAAAGAGGAAGGTGCGACAAAGAAGGCCCAAGACGATTGAACAGTTAGAGGCCTGTATTAGACATGAATGGAAGAGCATTCCTATTTCTAAACTTGAGAAACTGGTCTCCTCTGTCTCCAGACGTCTGAGTGTTGTAAGAAGAAGGGGGGATGTCACACAGTGGTAAAAATGGACTTGTCCCAACTTTTTTGGGATTTGTTGACGCCATGAAATTTGGAAACTGATTTTTCCCTTAAAATGATACATTCTCTCAGTTTAAACTTTTGATCTGTGGTTTGTGTTCTATTCTGAATAAAATATTAGATGTTGGCACCTCCACATCATTGCATTCAGTTTTTATTCACAATTTGTTTAGTGTCCCAACTTTTTTGGAATTCGGTTTGTATATAGATGAAGAAAATAAAATGCTTCTGTTTTTATACACGGGGTTAGTTTTGTGGTTTGCTTTAAGGACAATAAAACTTTAGGAGATGAGGGATTAAGTCCACACTGGACACATTTTTCATTATCTGAACCAGCTTCTACCTCACGTTTGGACTCTATAGCAGCTCACAGGTTATACTGGTGTTGTGGGAGTTTTGTTTAGTTGTTTTGCTTCTTGTGTTAACAGGTGCCACTGGAGGAAGGTTTAAATAAAACTATTCAGTACTTCAGCAGAGAGCTGGAGCACCAGGCCAACAACCAGTACATCCCCAAACCCAAAGCCGCCCGCATGAAGAAAGGCAGACCCAGACACAACTGAGACGACACAAGTCCGCACTTCTCTACAAAACCGAGACATAAGACTCGACGCAGAGCAACTCAACGCAGAGCAACTCAACGCAGAGCAACTCTTCGGAGTGCTCTGCTGAGTAGCGCACTTTTGGGAACAGTTCTGTTTTAAAGACAAAAATCAAAGATGAAGGCCGGTTTTTCTTTAACCTCGTCTTTTTAAAGCTAGTGTTGCCTTGTTATGGAGCTGCAGCTGTGTTGTGGTGAGGCCTTTTTTTTTTAACTGAAGCATAGGCTACAGACTTAAAGCTGAAATCCAGCCTATGTGTTTTTGCTATTTAATGCACCTCAGTGAGAAACCTGCAGCTAAGACGGAGCAGCCATGTTTTGGGTTTTTGAATCATTTTTTTGTTGTTGTATTGTGTCCAGAGATGAGCTGCCTTGGTTTGTTGCTTTCCACTGGATGTTCTGTTGTCAGTGACTCCCAGCTCTCTGATGGTTGTACCCTGCAGTGCACAGCAGGCCTCAGACAAATCGTCAAGAACTGTTGCGTCATAATTAAGGTTTTCAAAGCCATTCTGTTTGTGAAATGTCACGTGAGGATGTGAGCTATTCTATTGATGTGAAAATGATATTTTAATAAAATATTTCTACTAGTTTGTGAATGAAATGGATGGTAAATGTAATATTTGTGGCTGTAAAGGCAGCGTAGAATGACATCATTGTCAGAGACCAGGCGTAGGTTTGAAGCTGATTTAATTAGTTCAGTTTCAAATAGACTGGAGTTCACACATGTGGGTCAAGATAAATAAGAAGGAACACTTGTGAAGGGTTTGTCAGGTGTAAAAAAGAAACCATCACATTGCATTACTTAACAAGTCAATTTAATTTCCTCCCGAGTGATGGCAACATACTGAGTGTGTGTGTGGGGGGGGATTTTGGAGTTAATAATAGTCGTAGTTGACGTTCGCTCCGTGTCTGTAAGACGAGGAGTCACGGGGGCCAATGGGGGAGTTTTCATCGTAGTGATGCTGCCGTCCCTGGTCATTGGCGCGTGCATGGTCCATCCAGTACTGCAGGTCAGTCTCCAACCTCTAGAGACGAGAAAACATCGCAGACACGTTTGAAAACTCACAAATCTCAGAGTGAAAAACAAGCAGCCGATAAGACTGACAGCAGCTACGAATGAAAGCCAGACGTTGAAAAGGCCAATCAACTGACAGCTTTGGCCTTTTAAAGAAGCAGCAGTGAAATGGCATATGCTCAAGGTGTCACGTAGAGCAACGTTGGAGAAATTCTGCTGTAACTCATGTCATCATATTTTCTGCTTCCTGTTCGTTGCTCTCCTTTCTGTCCTCAGTGAACGTTTGACAAGAAAAGACCTGGAAAAGTTCTAATCTGGCTCGGGACGCGAATTTAAATGTGTGAAAGACAAAATCATGTTTTCAATTATTATTCAAACACCCCAGTAATGTGTGGGGGATACAAGGTGCCTTTAGAAGAGCATCTAAAGCACCAGAGCAGATATTTGCGTACTCCACTTTATTTTGATTTTTTACTGTTGAGATAAAAACTAAAGAATTAATTATTGTTTTTTTTTTACTTTTTCTTTCAGTTTTCAGAATGTGGTTTGGATGTGATTTTATTTGCTGAATCTAAACCCCCCAGATATCATCTTGTCCCCTCAAAGAAATTAACAATCACTTTCAGAAACAAAAACAAAAAAAAACGTATTAATCATAAAACACAATTTAAATCTCTTTTATTACAAAAGTGATAAGTTTGATTAAAACAAGCTTTTGATGATGATTCAGGGCAGTTAAAGCCTGCTATATTTATTTCAGCTTGTTTCCTGAACTCCCCATGGAGGGGCAGAACTCACCGCCTCATCATATCCCATGTGCATGAACTGCATAATCCACTGCTGGACGTCGGGCCTGCTGCGATCCCAAAGGTTCCTCTTGGTTCTGCTCAGCTTTGCCAGGAACTCTTGGGCTTTGGGTGCAGGAATGGCAACAGCAGACTTCGATGGGACGTTACCAGTTTCAGCCACTGGATGGAAAAATTAACCATCGGTGCAGAAAGTTAAAAAAGGCTGAAACTTTTATTGTGATGAGTATAATTTTAGTTGTTACCGTCTCGTTTCTTTAAGATCTTGAGCAAACGGCTGTCACTGGAAACATCTGTACGGGTCAAAACAAACAATGAGCCCAAACGTTCTTCTTAAAGGGATATTTCAGAAGTTTTTTTAAAGAGGACTCTGTGAAGGTTAAGGACAATAAGTTTTTTTTAACCACCTCAATTTGTAGAAGTAATTTATGAACTGATTGACGGGACCAAATGCATTGTTTCCATCTGTGCTTCACTTTAGAAAGATGTGTAGCATATAATGCAAAAAAATAATAATTTAAAAACTTTTTACATCGTCAGTTATTCTGTCCAAAAGATTATATTTCTGCTGAAAGTTCTCAAGCTGCACCAGAAGTGCTACAGCTGCTTTTGCAAATAAAATTTTCTTTCGGCTGCTCCCTTCTTAAGACGGCGAGCGAACTCGCATGAAAGTTTTGGCAATTGATTGTCACCAGATGCTCTTCCTAACGCAGCCTGGGCTCGAACTCGCAACCACAGGATTACAAGACAACGACACTGACCACTGAAGGTAATCGCCCATGTAACACCAAACTGACTGTGTTATAAACTGCATCTGAATTGTTTACATGTTTTCAGCTGTAACTTGTTTAAGCTGCAGATTGATCCACTCTGTTCCTCCAAGCGGAGCTCTTTTAAAGAGCCATCTGCAGCAAGTATGATGTTTTTTGTTTATAACCTTTCCAAGAACCCTCCTTTTTTTCCCCAAGATCTTAAATTTCAGGCAATTTATAAAACTTGTATGGATCGAATATAACTAAAACACTAATATAGTCAGCTCTATAAAACAAAAAAACTGTTTCCACAACTGTTTTATTAATAAATCTTAACATAGATGTTTCATCAAACCTCCAGTCATATTTTTATTCAAAAAACTAAAGCTAATTTTTAGGCTGCTCAGTAGTTTTACTTAAATTTGAGTTTTATAAACCAGACTAGTTTGTTCAGAGTTTTAAATATAGATGTCAATGTGAAATCAGAGGATTAAGTGTGGCTAGAAGAAAAGATCCCAGTTTGCATCCAAGAAATTAAGGTTCTGTTATTATATTTATATTATTGATGTTTTTCTTCCTGCGGTCGTTTCAGACTTCCCAAGGACAGTGTACTTTGTTGCATCAGGATTTTTTAAATTATTTTTATTGCAACTCTTCAGGTACTCTGAGCTTTTTTCTATTTTTTTTTTCTAACATTTAAAACACAAAACTGAAAGAATTTATCAAAGCGCACCGATTTGCTTCAAAATCTGCTTGTTTTTTTTTTTTTAAACCTGCTTGTGAACAAATTGTTTTCACAGTGTTTAGTTAACAGGATAGGACTAAAGAGGAATATTTTAATTTAGGAATAATCAGTGGAAATAAACCTCCTGATATACAGAAAGTATAATCTGTATAATCTGTAATTTACGAACACATATTTCATTGTAACAACATAATCCAGCTGAACAACTGAGGAAGTTCAGGACTAAATTTGAGCAGACGTGACCTTTCTTTGATTAGTTGTAGGTTTTTTAAAGCCGTGCAGCTTTAACAGCTCGGCTCTTCACAAATAACCAACGCTGACGGTTCTGCTCAGACCGAACCACTGCATCAGCAGCTGGATTTATTGACTTGGCATTTTCTTTATGACGTTTTTATTGATTGACTTTACGCGCAGGCAGGGCCGCCTTGATACACAGACTTACCTGGGCCGAAGCCCAGGGGCCTACATCGTTTGGGGGTGGGGATCATTTTGAGGTCACATGACGAGCTGAAAACATTACTGTTTTGTAACTTGTCAGATTGTAAGTGTTGCTGGAGAGGAAACTGAAGCTGGCAGAATTTTTTAAACCAGTTGTCAGAGCAGATGAACCTGCAGACAGATGTTCACCGACTCCTCCACAATCTGAGGGAGAGGATCACGAGGAGCGGCTCACGCAGGTGGAGCAGGAGAGGATTGGAGGAGGAGGAGCAGAGAGAGGACCAGGCACGTTTAGATGACAAGTCTGAGACTCAACAGTGACCCCGGGCCACATGGAGCAACAACACCGACCAACAGATGTGTGTGTACTGGGAGAAAATGGGACAAGTGTGCTTAAAATGCAGCCTTCTTGGGTGGATTTTTGATTTTAGGTTGGTGGTGGGCCTGCAGGTCCACTTGGTTTACCAGCAGGTTAAGACCCTGAGCGCAGAAAAAATCTGCACAGGTTTCCATTTATCTCGTTCCTCCACTCGCAGATACCCTGCTGCGAATATATTCATGGACCAAACTTGGAAACGTTGATTTACAAATAAACATCACATTTTATACAAGCAATTATTTTCAGCATCTGCAGTCAAAATGTCTCATCTGTAATACTGAACATCTGCATAATGTGAGGATCGTTTTCAACAACCCCTGAAACGGTTCTTATGTTCCCTTCCTGGGTTCTGGAGGGGGTTCAGTTCATGACTCTGCCTGCATGGATCTCTCCATCTTTGCATTATTATTATTATCTTCTTCTTTTTTTTTTTTGACCAATCCAACAGTCTGTTTCTTCAAACAGAGTTTAAATTAAATTGATTAGATACTCGGCTCTGAAGGATTTGATAAAAACTCATTCTAACAATCGGGTTGATTAGAAGAGTCTTTAAAGCGATCTGAGAAAATCATTCCTGGGTTGTTTTTTTTGCTGAAAAATGAGCTTTTTACACTCAGGAGGGGATGTCTATGAAGTTTTTCAGAGAACTTCTCATGCTGTTTGAAGTTTATAATAATAATAATAACATTGAATTAAATGTGATGTAATTTTCCCTCTAGCTGCGTGAATCCTTGATTTTTTTAATGCTTTTTTTTTTTGTAAATTAAATGTCATTGATGAAGCATTTAGCCTTTAAAACTGTCTTCAGAAGAATAAATCATGAACTTTAGGCTCAGAGCTTTAAGGCTCTGATGCCAGAACCGTGTCTCCTGAGGGTCAAAGCGTATGTTACTGAAATACTTTTCGTTATGCTAACATTTTATGAACCGCTCAGACATGTTGGATCATCTAGCACGAGTTTGACTTCTGCTCCTGGAATTAAAACACCTAAAGGCAACATTTAACTTTTAAAACATGCATTTTATAAACCTTTAGAGCTTCCGAAGAATCACTGAGATAATACACCTGTTTTTTTCTTATTTTTTTAATTATATACCAGAAACTTTTTAAAAAGTGCACATCTTTGTCTTAATCCCAGCTTAAAACTTTGCAAACCCATAAAACATGAGAAACCACGTAGATTAGTTCAAACTGCACCACGTTAGGTAAAGAAACTTTTTACCCACAATAAATTATTTACATGGTGAATTGGAAAATGTTTGCAAAAAAAAAACAGATTTTTTAATTTTTATCTGACTTGCTCTGAAGAAAACCGTGCACGGAGGCTGAAGTGTTTAGTTCTGCACGTCTCATCTCAGTCTTCCTGTGCAAACACCAGGTTGTGTTGGAAAAACATTCCCTTTGTCTGAGACGCATGAGCTCTGAGAGTTAACCTTAAAACTTTTCATTCTTATTTATCTAGTTGAACTCTGATCACAACGGGATGTTTAAAGTAAGTTTGTTTTAATTAACAAACTAAAATGTAAAGCAATGTAATTTTAAATGATCCTCCAAAATGAAGTGAAAATACATTCATAAAGGGTTGAAGAAGTAAATATTTTTAATTTGGTTTTGCATTTTCTTTAACTTATTTAAAGATGAATTTGTGGTTCCATTAGAAACTAGATAAATGAGCAGGATATCTTTAAAAAATAAAATTTAAATCCCTTTTAATTCAGTTCTTGTGCTAAAAACAGATAAATCTCCAGTTCGGACTCGCTGAGACGACCATCCACAGGAAAACACTAACACATTAAAACAGGCTTGGACTGGATGTGACTAATGTCTGGTAAACAACAAAACCCATGCAGAAGGAAAACGGTGTGCTTACCTGTAAGAGCTGTTAGTGTCAGCAGCACAGCCACCCCCATTAACTTCAACCAGAGCTGCTGGGATGCCATGTTGGACCCGCTCAGTCAAAGACAGCAACTGTGCACAAAACTGCTCTGGGACCAGAGGAAAAGGTGGGAGGGAACCCAGACTTTATGTGGAAACTGGCCTGTGGCAGTGGAAAGTCTTTCACCTCTGAGCCTACAGGCAAGACCGCAACGATGGGCTTTTTTTTTTTTTTTCCCATTGAAGGAATTTTGGCATCCTAAGTAGTTTTCCATAAAGAGCAGGCAGAGTAGAAACAAAGGACAGAGTTACAGTTAATCCTAATCCAATCTGCAGCATCAGAATAAACTAGTTAATTTTTACATAAAAATCCCTTTAAAGTGCTGGATTGCGTAAAATGACATCTGTAAGAAGGTTGGTTACATCCCTTTTCTGAACCACTTTGGCCTTGGTTGGCTGTTTCTGTGAGGAGCAAGTTGGCCATCTGGCCTAAACCATCTGATTGTTGATCATGATGATTGATTGTTTTGGACGGATGTGCTCTGTTTGCACGTGTTAAAAGTCTACTTGTGAGATTCCAACAGGAGGTTGGCTTGAAACACAGCAGTGAAGGCTACCTATAGGACAGGCCTGGTCATGAACATGTCTGCTGAGGTGAACGCAGCAGAGCAGTCAGAGAGAACGGAAGACGCTGCACTCGGTTGAAGGATGCACGAGGGTCGGCCTGCAGGAGCTGAGTGCTTCCAGGTGACACTTCTCTCCAGGGGTTCTCACGTTACTTAGAAAGGAATGTAATAAAAAGTGAAGGTTTTCTTTTTTCCTGAACTAATACTTCTGCAGCTTCCATTCTGCAAATCTGGAACAGCAGGGAAACGAAACCAGAAGTGGTTATTTGATATAACTTTCAGAAACATCTTACACACAACAAGTTTTGCATTGTTCACTAAAGAAAAGTGATGTTTGTTAGGATGTTTATTTGTCATATGCAGGTTAACACAAGTTCAACAAAAAAAAAAAAGAAATGTTCGGGATGAGAAGAACTGATTTGGAACTGGAGTACCTGAGAAAACCCACGCATGCATGGACAGAACATGCGAACTCCACCCAGAAAGGCCCCCCAACTGGGATTTGATCCGGCAACCTTCTCACTGAGAGGCAGCCGCTGCACCAACTACACCACGGTGCTGCCTCAATATATACTAATATTACTACTATATATCTTTATAAAGTGTCCTGCTACTGCTGACTTTCTTCTTACCATCATACTGGCAGAAGCTCTCTACAAAGTTGCAATTTAAATGTTCAAAATCGCCAGATTTTTGAGATATTGAGAAATTCAAACATGTTTTAAGAGTAAAGAAGTTTTAATCTTTTTTTCTTTCATAATAAAATAATCATCAGTGATTAATTTTGGTTTAATGGGCTTAATTAAAATAAACATTTGAAATCTCTGGTTCTGGTTCTTGACTTTTGTCATAGAAAATAATTAATTCCTAAATATTATTTGTGGACATCCCTTTAGTTTTCATTGCATTTTTAGACTTTTGACAGTGTTTGCAGAAAATTTAAAACAATTCTGAAGCTTGCGCAGAGTTGTTGATGTCCTGTCAGCAGTTCCACAAGAATTTTCTTTGACAAAGGAGATTTGTTAAAATTTAGGTTAAATGGAATTACATTTTAGATACTGGAAAGACTGCACTTTATATAATATGTTAGCATAGTTTTATTTAGTGCCTGCTGACAAATGTCCACCAGGTTTAAGTCAGGATTTTTTTTTTTAAGTCGAGCTGAACTCGTGTCTGTCAGAGAGCAGCAGTGTTCGGTTTAAAGGCAGTTTATTACCTTTGGAAAAGACAGATCATCAATAAAACAGCCAGAAACAGGGGAAAGCACATAAAAGAATAAAAAGGCAGAAAAGTACAAGAATAAACATGTTTAAATATCAGGTCTGATCATTACTTAAACTGAAAATCTGTATTTATGTTGCGCTCTTTCATGCACTGCATTCAGCTGCATGCTGTCATTGAGCATTAATAGAAAAAGTAAACTCCTTCTGAGCTAAGTTGAATTGGACTGGCTGGGTCATGGCTGCAGAGCTCAGTGATGCAGGCATGTCAAAAGATATGATTAAAAAGGCTCATTTCTACCTGGGGTGAGTTTTCTTCAAGGTTTGCTCTTTGTCTCCATATTTCAAATGACCAGACTGAATATAAAAAGAAAACCAGATGTTTTGACATGCTGAAAACTGCAGATAAAATTTGTGAAAAGGGACTTTTAATAAAACACTTTGTGGATTCAGGCTCTAATGACTCATCTTAACCCTCCTGCTGCCCTGAGGTCAAAATGGCTCACAGCCTGAAAAGAAACAACTTGGGTTTGATCTAAAAAAGTTAAATCTGGTCCTCTGGACATTCAAAAAAACAAAACAAAGCAAATCAACAAAAAATGTAGAAACGTTTCGTCTCTCATCCGAGAGACTTCCTCAGTCTGAGGTGCTGTATTCAGCTCAGTCTCTTAAATAGCACC